AAAGGCACTATATAACTGTGATTTGTTACATTAGAATACATTAGAATATACAGCACAGAAACAGGCCATTAGACCCAACTGGTCTATGCCGGTGTTTATGCTCCACATGAGCCTCCTCCTGCCCTTCCTCAACTAAGCCTTCAAGCATAACCTTCTATTCCTTTTCCCCTCATGAACCTATCTAGCCTTCCCTTAAATACATCTATGCTATTTGCCTCAACAACTCCTTGTGGTAGCATGTTCCACATTCCCACTACTCTCTGCATGAAGAAATTTCTTCCAACTTCTCTATTTGATCTATTTGTGACTATTTTATATTGATGGCCCCTGGTTTTGGTCTCCCCCACAAGTGGAAACATCTTCCCTATGTCTACCCTAACAAAACAGCAACAACAAGATTGCATTTATTGAGCGGCTTTCACATCGGGAGGACGTCCCAAGGTGCTGGACAATTGGGTCGGGACCCGAGCAGGGGGGAAATGGTCAGGGTGAGGGGAGGGAAGGGAGGGAGCGAGGATGGGGTAGAGAGTCGAGAGGGGAGCTGAAGGCACGGTTGAAGATGAAAACCTTTCATCATTTTAAAGATCTCTATCAGGTCACCCCTTACCCTCTTCTTTTCAAGAGAAAAGAGTCTAAGTATGCTTTCCTGATAGATATAACCTCTCAGTTCTGGGATCATCCTTGAGAATCTCCTTTGCACCCTCTCCAATGCCTCTACAACCCTTTTCTAATGCGGGGACCAGACCTGCACACAGTATTCTAAGTGTGGTCTAACCAAGGTTCTATGGAGGTTTACCATAACTGCCCTGCTTTTCATTTCTATCCCTCTAGAAATGAACCCCAATGCCTGGTTTGCTTTTTTATGGCCTTATTAACCTGCGTTACTACTTTTAGTGAATTATGTATGTGTACCCCTAGGTCCCTTTGCTCCTCTTCCCCATTTAGGTTTTTATTTTCCAGGATGTATGTGACTTCCTTATTCCTTCTACGAAAATGTACACCTCACACTTTTCTACATTGAAATGCATTTGCCATTTAAATGCCCATTCAGCAAGTTTATTAATGTCTTGCTGTACTTTGTTGAGGTCCTCCTCTGTATTAACTACTCCCCCCAATTTGGTGTTGTCCGCAAATTTTGAAATTATACTGCTGATTCCCGAATCCAAATCAATAGTGTATATTATGAACAACAGTAGTCCCAATACTGATTCTTGTGGAACACCACTGCCCACCCCCTATCAGTCTGAGTAGCTACCCTTTACCCCTACTCTCTTTTCTATTTTGCAGCCAGCTTGCTACCCATTCTGCTATTTTACCCCTGACTCCACCTGCTCTGACCTTATTCATTAGTCTATTATGTGGTACCTTATCAAACGCCTTTCAGAAATCTAAATATATTACATCTACTGCAACTGTTGTTGTTGTTTGTTGATTAAATGAGCGCTACCTTTTAGTTCACTGTATAAAATACAAAATAGCAATCAATAATAATGTGTGACCTGTGAAAATTCAGTGCAGGGTCTGGGTGTGGTTAGCTGAAGGATATGATTACCCTTTGCTAAGTAGTAGATTGTCTAGGTTTATGACACCACTGCACTTTTTAAGTTAAATTATGAACTTCTATTTACACAGTCAGTTAGCTGGCCACACCCCTACTATTCCATTGAAAACGATACACAATAGCAATATCACAAGTGAAAGAATATTTTATTTTTTATTGGTTAAGCTTTATAATAATAGTATTCCATTACATTATTATCACTTCTTTCATCACATTAATGTGGCTTGGCTTCAAAGCTAAGTGCTGTGTACTGACTAATTGCTACCCAGTGTTCTTAAACCATGGGCTCTTCAATGCAGATTCTGAGACTTATCTTACATTAAATATAGTGATCTTTTCATTGCATCTTTGGGAGAATATAAGCCACATCTATGTTCTTTTCCTTTATGTACATTTTGCTCAATGCACTGTAAAACTGCTGTAATACCACAAATGCAACTGGACTGAGCTCTTAACTTAAGCATATGTGTAAATGACAAGAAGCACTACCAGGAATTCCTATTTGGACTAAGGCTACAGTGGTATTTGGGCTGATGCATAATGGGCAGGACTTCTTGGCCATGATGTTGACTGATCTGTTCGATGTCAGTGCACTGTGAACCATGGGGTTGCCAAACAGCCACCCAACTTGTGCAGAGGAGTCAGTCTGCCACCTCTTACAGATTCGCGCCATAAATGTGGGAAACACTGCCGATCTCTGATCAATACTAGTGGTCAAAGAAGTATCCCCTTCTACAATGGAATGGTACAGTCATCCCTGAAGCAGAGGTTAATAGGTTGGGTCAAGGGAGCAGTCTGTGCCTCCTTTAAAGGTGTTCCCTTTTGGCACCAAAGTGAAGCAGGGAGAGGAACAGCTTGTTGGCTGTTATCCCAAAGCGTCTTGCCCTCAGTACATGGTCACTTGATAGTGTTTAACAACAATTGAACTTTGGTTCAAAATCATATCTGCCTTCAATCATGACTCTATGCCAATAATTGACACTAACTATACTAGCAGTTAATATTGTACATGGAACCTACATCTACAATTGCTAGGACTATGTGCTGTAGTGGGACAGTCAGCTAGGTTGATTTTAAACCAGTTACTGAAATGTGTTCACTTAAATCTGCCATACAAAATCAGGGAGAGGACCAATGCATCTAAATCTCTGCTAGTGAAATTTGCTGACCGGTGGTCAATCAGACACACTCACTTAGTAAGGTTGATAAAATTACCAATCATCAGAGAAGCAGCATTGCCATGAAAAAAAATGGTAAAACCTTTCTTGTTTATTTGCAAACAAACAATCTAGTATTGTGAAGGACATCGAGAGGCATCATTACTCATAAATGCGGAGGCCATTGAATTGGACAGAGTTGGGAGTACAACTGGATTTGGAACTCAAAAGCATTAACAGCCGGAAAGCCAAATTCCATAAGGTCAGAAAAAAGGGACAGTCACCTCTTTGAGATGGAATAGTGCCAGAAATAGGGGATTCAGGTCAGCTCAACAGTTCTCAGCAGGAGATAGCTGTCTTGAACTTTTGACACTGAAACATCGGGGAAGAGGGCGTGGACTAACCAAGACGCTTGATTGGTTGACCTCTCATAAGCTTTTCGGTCCATTCAGTAGTTGAGGTCATTTTTTGTGAGTAAAGAGGAGAGTGGCTGGTTCTGAGCAGGGAATTAGGAACATTAAGACAGAGAAACAGCTTGAAACCTGGGGCAGGCTATGAAAGAAAATGGGTTAAATGGACAAGGCTGTTGAAAATTATATTATAGATGTTGCATATGATGTGAAGTATGACTAAATCCAAGAGTTTCTGCCACGCCTATAAACCCCTTATTACTATATTGGGAGGTCTGGAGGTGGTATATACACACAACTCTGTTCTCCTGACATTTCTCTCTTTGCAAAATAACAGATTTGCCAAGCCTTTTTTTTCCCCCTCAAAAATACTGTGCAACCTTAACATTTGTTTCAGGTCTTCAAACATTTTTCAGTGTTGCCTTCTGCACTTTACATTACTTGTTCAGTCGAATGGTTAAGAGTAAGTGACACGAGGACAGAGTCTCACACTGAATCTATTCTGAAATATTGCATTTTTCATCTCAGTATCACTGTTCAGTTTCATGTCACATCACCGGTACTTCTGAAGCAATTTTACTGAGGAAGCGGATAGATCACCAGTAATGTTGAGCCGTTTGACTGTATGTAATATTTAAAGGTTCTTTTTCTCAATTTGTCACCGATCAAAGGAAGAGAGAGGGTAGCTCCCGCAGTTTTTCAAGAAATACGGTTAATACTCTTTGTAGCAGTTAAGAGCAGGAAACGCTGGCTAATTTCCCTAGAAATGGTATAGGATTCTATTGCTCCAGCTCAGGGAAGATCAGTTAATTCAGCATTAACAAGAATGAACCTTGGAACCTTGGCCTGATTCGTTTTCTTGAAATTAACCGTGGTTTAAAAACAGGATGGGGGAGTCGACTGAACCACCCATTTCCTTCCCCCGAACACACATGTGGATTTTTTATGCTCTGTCTCAATCCCAGTGGCACCCTACAAATAACTGCTGGTTTGTTTGGCATTCAATATCCAGAACATGGAACACAAAGAACATATTTCTGTTTAAATAATAGTTACATGTGGTCATTGCGAACAGTTACAGAGCTCAATTGTGTGTGAGAGCTAATTTTCACTCACAAAATACATAGTCACTACACTATACAGTAAATCTAGTGAAACACTTTGAGATGTCCTCCTGATGTGAAAGGTCCTATATCAGTCAGCCATTTGAGGTTTATTATAATAAATTAGATAAGTGGTGAGGTGGAGGTTCAATATTCTCCAATGACAACAATAGATAATTCTGTTAGAATACCCATTAACCTGTAGACATTTTCTTTGCAGGACTAGATAGCATCTGAGCAATGTTCTGCAGGTTGGTGCAACAAAGTTTTGGGCAGTGCCGAATCTTTATTAAGGAATTACATTAGGTAATACTTCAAATTTAAACCTTGTGAATAGTTTTGACTTTCTTATCAATAAAAAATAGAAGAAAAAGAAATGTGAAGACTTTCCAAAACAATTCTTCAAGAGGTATTAAAAACTCATGAACTCCCGGGGAACCAAATTTGCAGTCCACTTCCAGGTCTGAAATGCTGGATGTCCACATCACACTCTTCAACTGATGGTTAGTAGGACACATGCTTTTTAGTAAATTAAACAATCAATGAAAACAACCTGCTAACCGGCAGTCAAAAGTGGTGAGCTGGAAGTTTGATTCCACAGACCCAGCTTCTGCAGACTTCCTCATTGAGTAAAGCATTCAGAAAGCAGAGAGGATGGTCCTGCATTTGGCACTTTGACGTGCCAACTATCACATGGATGACCAGTATTGTATAACCTAATGTATAGTCCCAAAGTTGAAAAACAACAAGAAAATCTGGCAGAACCTACCTCACCCATCCCACTCCCTGTCTGCTGATCATGGAGCACCATTGATGGAAGCTGTGAAGAAAGATAGGCAGTGTTAAGCACTTTGAGACGTCCTCCCGACGTGAAAGGTGCTATATAAATATACATTGTACTGTGTTTTAATGCTATTGATAGGATGATTAAAGCTGGTCTAGGCTCCTTGTCAATCTTTGGTCAATATTATTTTAAAATCGATGCCTAGAGGTGGAATTCCTCTTGAATGTATACTGTAGTGCCAAAAACTTATACTGAGATTTTTCCAGCTGAAACATCCCATGGCACTATTCAAAAAGAAAAGGGATTTCTCCTGGTGTCCTGGCCAACAATCCTCCACATAACATTGGCCATTCACTCCATGGCTGTTTATGGGACATGCTGGACGCAGATTAACTGTCGTGTTTACCCACAAAAATGACGTCATTACATTTTACAAGTACAACCTGTGAAGTACTTTGAGACTTCCTCCTAAAATGAAAGTCACTATATCAAATGTAAGCATTATTATTATTATGTACATCACACAGATTCACAATGCCTTGGCTCTGAGGGCACATGCCAATAATCTCATCTTTAACCATCAGAAAAGGTGTTCGGGTCAGTTGATAATAAATACTCAGTCTGACCTAGTTTACATAAAGGTTGCCTCTCATTGTTCATCTTGAAGAATAGCATCACACAGGTAGTCAATGTTATTTGCACAGTTGCAGCTAGCGCTGAACATGTATCCACTGCTGATGGCACATGGCATTAGAAATTCTCTTTCTGCTTGGTTCAGTTTGTTTCCCTTTTAGGCATATCTGCTCGCCACTCACGAATGGCTGCACCTGTCAGTCACTGAAGCAGCTTGGGTCCTGGGGATTTCAACGCCATGCTAGACTACTATCTCTCATCAGTCTTCATCCGCTATACACAAGATTACAATATGTTCATTTTGCAAATGCCAGATGTATTCAGCCAACTATAGTTGACACACCTGCCCCCATCCCCCTTAAACTGCTATGTAAACTGCATACAGGAATCTATTCCTCGCTTATCTTTTGTGTGAACAGGCTGTGCTTAGTGCCAAATGAAAATGGCAAGCCCCAGATGGCAATCAGTAGTGACTGATGCAATCATAGCTACTGTGGGACACCGTCAAGTCATGCTGAAATGAATGACTGGCTGATCAATATAAGGCGACAAGCCAGTGCAGGAAAACCTGCCCTTCAATGACCCATTGGTGACCTCAGGATACAAATGATTTAATGAACCTTCACTTATACTCTCTCCCCTTACTAAAAAACAACATTCTACAAAGAGAGTGAATGAAATGAGATACAGAACGGAACACTCTTGAAATGCCAGAGTGTTGATTGTTTCAGTCACACAAGGAAAGAAATGAGGAAGGAACTGTTGAGCATTGCAAGAAAATAGTTACAGGACTAATGAAAGTTTAATGCAGTGACACTCTTAAATTTGTGAATTTTTTCCAGTTCCAATGCAATGCTCCTAATTTTCCCCTTTCTGTCTTCCTTCCTTTGTCCCTCTTGCTCAACCTCCTTTTTAAGGAATTTCATTTGTTAATTATTTCTCTTTTCTTACCTATTTTTTATTCTCTACATTATTTTATGGTACAGCAATGAACCCAACCATTTGCCAAGTATAGTGGGTTTTACAGCGATTATCAGCTATTGAGCAGTTTATTTCCTTTATACTTGAAGCCAATCCTTTGAAACCTTATTTTCTTAGTTTATTTTATTCTTAACTCAGAAGCTGTTGGTTCTACCAATCCATTAATATTGCCAATATTGTTTACTCAAGTTATGAGCTGTAAAGCGACTGTTATGTTCACCTTCAGTTCAATAGGTATAATCACAAATTTACAAGATAACCAACACACTTCGCATTGTTGACAAGACTGCTGTTCCAAACTGATCTCCATTTAATGTGTGCTCCATCAAGTGCTCTGGAATGCTACCCTGCATGAGGGGCATGATATAAATGCAAGTTGTTTTAGTTGTTATCAAATGCAATGTTATGTGGATGTAAATCAATGAATTTGCATAATACTATACTTTAGTTTTATAAGACAAAACATTTTTTTCAGAACTGAACTTTGAAAATATTTCTAGTTTTGGTAATCTAAGACAACATAAATTACAAAATTAGGAGGATTCCTGTCTGATATTCCCACTTCTCCGTCCCAGGAGTAATGAGGCCAATTTGTGGAACCCTACTACTGCTTTAACGGCAATTCAGTGGTAAAATGTCCCAGGATTCACCATTAATCTGTGGTTTTAGTTAATTTTAGCTATTGCAATTGTTACAATTACACTTTTTTTAAAAAAATGTAGTTACTGGGATAAAATAAAAGCACACACGAATAGTAGACCTGGGACCTTCCAGATGTAAATTTTACTCACTTAGTTACCAGGGGAAATACACAAAATGCCTCATCAAAAGAGAGTGCTCAAGATTCTGTTATAGTACCGTTTAAGATTACTATTGGTCAAGGGATGAGGGAGTTTAAACCATTGCTCTCTTATTCATGTGAGAACTCCTTTCAAATTCTGTTTAAAGTTAGAGAACAAAGTTTAGTTGGGTGTCAATTACATGATGCAATTTGTATTTATTAAATACTCCAAGGTTGCTATTAGTACAATGCTACAGTGCTTTATAGTTAGGTAAATACTCACTGCAGCACTGTAATATACTTTAGCGCTATCAAACTATCAATTTGTTGATATATGTTTGACTAAATCACTGTGAATGGAAATGTCATATGGACACAGTTAATAACTGAGTAGCATTCCTATTCTCCATCACTACATTACATTAATTTACCATCAATAATTTGATATGTTTCACATAGCGCAGTGTAAATTGAAACAACTTAATTACTGAGCGGTACCTTACTAAACTTCATATTGATACCTGGAACTTCCAATTTTTTTTAACAGATTTCAAGATTCTTAAGGATATTCCATGTCTGGATTCTTTGAAATATAATAACTGATTCTCTGACATTCTGTATGAAAAGCCAGTGAACTTCTAAAAATAACAACAGTTTAAAATTATTATAAAACAAAAAATAAATGTGTAATTACCATGGTTATTTTCAGAGGTGCATTGACCCCTATAATGAAATGGTCCTTGGGAGCCAAATGGTTTGTGTGGTTTAATGAGATGAATCATACAGTATCTCTGTTGATAATGTAATGTTGAATAGGATAATCGCAGCAACAACTTACATTTATATATTTCCCGTCACACCTGGAGGAAGTCTCAAAGTGCTTCATATAACTAACTGGGAGTCTTATCTGGGGCTCAAGGAATGGTGCCCAAGAGCATTGTCAAAAAGATAGGTCTTAAGAGATGAACCCATTGGAAGATGAGGTTGAGTAAGTACTATGGAGACAGAACAGTACAAAGTACATCTTGATCCAGAGGAAAATGTCTCAATTTCCACTTTTTCATGCTCACCCATGCCTCTGCCACTCAAAGTATTGCTAACTGCATCTTAAGAGGCATAACATAACAGCTGGACTTTCTCATCTTATTTACCCCAAAACAGCCTTCTCTTGCAGGAAAACACCACAATCTCCACTCATGATGGCTCAATTGAGCTGTGAGTCCGAGTTAGGGATCAAACACATTGGCGCTGTATGAAGCATCAGCACTCTATTTCTCAACACAATCTGAACTATTGTTCCTTTATTTTAATTCAACCCAACATCATCAGGGACTGGGGATAAAGGTAAAGTGAGCACTCGATAACACTTGTTGGTGTTAAAGGATATGTCATGGGAACTAGTAGAAGATGATAAACATCTCTAGCACTCAAGCTGATTAGATATCTTCTATTGCTAAGCCTCATACGCAGAAATAGTCATTATATTTCACTCTGTTAACCATGAATAGTTTTAGTTAACAAGTGTCTTCAAATGAAAACGGAATTTTAATTATCATTCCATAGCACTGTTATTGTGATATCTTACCTGTCCAAATGTAACAAACTATGAGTGCTCTATATTGAGATGGAATATACAGTAGCATTGTCGTGGTATTGTAGATTATAATTTAGCCATTGGAAAACTGGGCTTTTAATGGCCTGAACCATTTTCTCATTCACAGACTCCCAACAAAAGCAATTGATACTGCAGTGCATGGCTGCTTGAGAACGGTGTTAGTGGATCCAATGGATAGTTATGAACAAAATAAACAAAATACTCCAAGGCCCACAGTGTATGGTGTAGTATGTGTATGTGGTGGGGGGAGGGGTGGCAGGCGGATACTCCTATGGAGAGAAGGTCAGAGTTTCTAAAGGATAAATAAGAGAATGTAAGGATATTTTGGAGGATTTTTTTGTTTTGTTGCCTTGGGATGGATTCATTGAACATATGCTCAGATGGTTAAAGCCAATCAAGTTTTATGTGATCTGTGGATGGGTTGGATTGGACAAACCGATTTCTTCTGTTCCGTTCTTTCTTATTACCTCACACTCTTGTGATCTATCACTGCTTTTTCCACTTATAGAGATAATATAAATATGACAACCATTAAAAATAGGTTTATACAATCCGCTGATTAGTTTGAATATGACTATATTAGTTCACTAAAATCATTTGTATCCACTTAAAATCCTTGCTTTAACCATATTGCCAGTGTCATACAGTATAGCACATATTTCCAGGTTAACAAATATTGCAAAAAGGACAAAATTACATTTGAAAACAATTTATTTTTGCAAATACAGCTCCAATGTTATTTTGGTTGAGAAATCTTCCCGATTGTCAATTATTGACTGAAGGTTGCAGTCTCTATAAGATATGGATTTGCTTGTGTTACGAACAGCAAGATGATTTACTAATAACATCATTTCACAGCCCTTTCCTAAGATGATGAAAAATGACACAGATTATTGATCAATTTTTATGTACTATAAATCAAACAATTTGCTCAGGTGACAGAACCTGCCTGGTAAGCTTATATTTACAACTCCCCTCCCTCTCGCCATCTCTCCCCCNGCTCCCCCACA